TGCCAAAGGCCACGTGTCCGTCATCACCAAAGTTGCCTCGGCTCGGGAACTTGGGTACGATTGGGGAAGGTCACTTCGTGAAAATGATAATAAAATACTAATAATAAAAAAAATATTTTCTTATATTTATATGGGGTCAACGTATGTCTATATTTTAGTTAATGATGTATCGAGTTAGTTGGAATGAGAATGACAAAACTGTAAAGGGCACATATAGTTTTAGAAGGAGAAAATCTTAAACATTTTCAATATCTTAGACTAAGAATTATTTTATTTTTATTTTTATTTTTTTATTGGGGAAGGGACACAAATTTGTACGATTTGTTAGTTTACATAATATTTTTTGAAAAATTATATACAAGTCTTTTTTTTAAACCTACTTTTGGAATTAATGATATGTATAACAAATGATTAGTTAATAATTAGAAAAGATATAAGAGAGATAATTTAAAAAATGAGTCTAAATTTTTAACTTGAATAGTACTATAAATATATATTTTTTACTAATAATTGTGAACGGTGTGTTTGTACTATTTTCTAATCCAATAATAAGTTGAACTTGATGTGTTTATTATTTGTTTATTTGTTTTAATGTAAAAACATGAGACTTTGACATGGTGAGCCACATATTTTTTTTTTTTTTAAAAGTAGCTCCTCTCTGTTAATACTTCAATTAGACCTATCCGGTTCTATTTTTTGGGCATGTAACGAGACTCATTACCTTAACCATTATCATTGAATATGATTATGAATGATATACATTGTATATGTATGATATTTGGGAGGAGAAAGGGGATGTACTCTATGTTTTGAGGAGAAGAAAGGGAATGGACTCCATTAAATTAAGTTAGTCTGTGTGTCCAGGGTGAAAGTCCTGAAAGCCATTTGTATGCATGGGTGTCGATTCCCGCAGATGAAATTTTCGTAAAATGGCAAATAAAAGTAAATGTATTTGTATGATGATTTTATCTGTTGGAAACTTATGAGGTGTAACCTCTGTTGATGGGTTAAATGCAGTGGATGTATCTATTGAACCAAAATGAATGAATTGAGGTGCGAGTTTGGCATAACATGGTTTTGGAAAGGGTTATAAAGATTTTGTCATAGGACAATGAACATGTGCTTCATACTTCTATCTTGTTAATTCTCATATATTGTGTTAATATGTTTCTACTGGGCTTTGGCTCACCCTACTTGGGAACCATTTTTAGGTGTTAGAGACATGCCTCCGTTGAGACAGAAGTTTGGGGAGACTTGGAACAAGAGCTTCCATTTTATTTTATTTATTTTGTATAGCCAAGGGCTAAGTTGTATTGAGTTAGACTCTTCCTTTTGTTGTAACCAAGCAATGTTTTGGAAAGATGTAAGCTCGTAGGGCATTTATTTTGTCAAATATTAACTAGTATTAAATGCTATAGATTCTGGCTGGAAATTTATGAATGTATATTGCATGTGTTATCTTTTGTAATACGAACTCTGATGAATGAAAGCATACCAATTCTATTATACTCACTTCTCTTATGAGTTGGATTAGTTGCTTTTTTTGGGGGGCGTTTGCAACTTGGTATCAGAGTGTATCGGGTTTGAATACTTTGGGTATGTAGGAAGTGGTTAGTACCACAACGGGTTTGTCTCGCTTGCTAGAGACGTAAGTGTGAATGATATGTACTTAAATGATAACGTACTTATGTGATTATATGGGTATGGGATTAAATTTCTCGGATGTTGATTGAGTCCACGGGTTCTTAGAAGTCCTGTTACAAGAGCACTTGATCACTACTGTTCTAACCGAAACTCTAGCAACGCCGCAGGACTGTCATTATCCAGAAATGAAATTCATATGTGTTTATGTGAATACGTGCTTACGTGGAGTAAATTACTGTTGTCCATCGTATTAGGACGTGGTGGTTGTCATAGGCGCGGTGGTCGTCGTGGTAGGCCTAGACGGTAGGAGATGTCGATATTAGATGATATTCTGGCATAAGAGGAGGGTGTTGGTTAGGCTAATGTGGTCAAACTAGTTGGTCAGCAGGCCATGAGCGCCTTAGCCGGCGAAATGGCCAGAGCATTAAGGGAATCCATGGACATTCTCAGGGCTGAGAATCAAGTCCAGGCCCATGTAGCTGAGGTAGGGCCATCCTCCTAAAATAGGAGTTCTTTCGGTCTAATCCAGATGAGTTTTTAGGTGATCCCAAGGAGCCACTAAAAGCGGATGAGTGGCTAGAGTAGATGGTGAAGATGTTTGAGATGCTCAACATTGAAGACGGGGGTTTGAGAGTGACCTTGGCGTCCTTCCACCTGAAGGGTGCCACGGGTCAATGGTGGAAATATGCGTGAGGGTGCATTGGAGGGACTTGGGAGGCTTTTGTCAACACCTTCCAGGATAAGTTTTTGCATCCCATAGTTAGGGAGAAGTTGAGAGACCAGTTCTCTAAGTTGGTGCAGTTGAACACACTAGTGGCTGAGTTTGTGGCCAGATTCACCAGTTTGTTGAGGTTTGCACCGGAGTTAGTGGTGACCAAGGAGGTCCATTGTCTGGAGTTTGAGAAACGGTTGAGGACTGGGCTCATGTTTAAAGAGGTCAGGTTGATGATTAGGGAGTATGGATGCCTTGTGGAGGCGTCGGCTCATCTGGAGACCGTAATGCAGAAGGACTTGTTTCAAATGTGGTCTGTTGGGCCAGAGAGGAGGAGGGCACTGGGCAGCATCGTCTTCAGCTCGTTCTTAGAGCCAGAATCAGGAGAGAGGCCAGTCGCTCACTTGTTATCAGTGTGGGCAGGCGGAGTGCGTGATGATGTTTTTCCCACAGTTAGGTGGCACACCTGGTACGTCTGGTTCGAGACAGACATAGAGCCACCAGCCAACACAGGTAGCACAGGCCTCGAGGACCAATCAGGGAGCCTCTTTGGCTCAATCAATGTATCAGTCCTATGCACCCAGGGGTAAACAGGTAGATCAGAGGCCTCCAGGGCTTGTGTATGATGTTACCACGCCGAACCTAGTACCAGGACCTTCAGTAGTGGGAGGTACTTTCTTGCTCTACAATTCAGTTGCTAATGTGTTGATTAATACCAGTGCATCTCATTCATTTATTTCGTCTGCATTTGTGTCAATTTTGGGTTAGAGTTGGCTTAGTTAGCATCTCCCATCTGTTTACAATCGCCTATTGGGGGTGAAATGATTTTGAAACAGGGGTGTCGGGGTTGTGATATAGAGGTTGCCGATCAACGACTTCCTTTTTCATTTGTGTTGATTGATGTGGGAGCCGAATTTCATTGGATCAATAGGGACGAAAAGATGAGTCCAGTCCGGGACATAACCTTTATTCGGTATTGATCCTAGTCAATTGAAGGGCCGAATAAAGTAATCGGCGTTCCAACCAGTAGAACAAAGGCCGAGTAGAAGTACATATAAAGGATCGAGGATGGGCCTGGCCCTACAGCCCAAAGGGAATAATATAAATACAGGATCATCAGACAGAGGAAGGTATGTGAGAACTAGTATGCTTAACTTAAGTTACAAGCAATCAAGAGAGTATACACTGACTTATCCGTCAGAGTGCTAATTCTGGCACCCCCGACCGAATTATTCATTCCTTTTCAGGCAACTAGCTGAGGATCCCGAGCGTCCCCCAGGATCTGAAGAGTATTTCCAAACCACATTCTCCACAATTGGCACCATCTATGGGAATACTCAAATACATCCATGACGGGCGTAACGGAAGACCCTCCGATAGTCACTGACGAAACCACATAGAGAGACAACCTCACCCCAACAAACATGCTTGGACCGGAGACTATCGCTGTAAGATGCGCCTTGAACTTCGCCTCACCCTCAACTTCAGCGCATGAGACAATGCAAGCGATCATGGAACAAGCAAAGAAAAACGAGCAGAGGTTGGAGAACATGATCGCTGAGAACGAACGTCTCCGTGAGGATTTGGCCTTGTAAGTGGCGAAGTCCAAATAAGCTGTACGTCCAGGTCTGGAACGACCTCTGAGGGCAGGTGGTCGACGACCTTGAGCCCGACAACAAGACACTGATAGCGACTCCGACTCATTATCCCCGGAGCCCAAGATGAAGGGACGATACGAAACCACCAATTCATTTGAAGAGAATCCACGTATAAGGCATAGGCGAAGAAGAAACAGTTCAGACGAAGAAGACTAGCACGATCCCTTTGTACGACGGATTGCAAGGGCAGTGCTACCCAAGAAATTCAAAGCACCGTCATTCACCTTGTACGACGGTAAATCAGACCCCACCGATCACATCTGCCATTACAAGCAAGCCATGACGTTGCATGCAAATGACGAAGCTCTCATGTGCAGAATATTTTCGAGCAGTTTGGGACCGTTGGCAGTCAGATGGTATTATAAGTTGGAGTCGGCATCGATTAAAAGCTTCCATCAATTACAAAAATCCTTCAGGGCAAGATTCATCACCAACGAGGTCCAGCAGAAACATGCCAACTCTCTCTGGGCAATGCAGATCCAGCCAGGAGAAACACCAAGGGCGTATTCATCGCGCTATTGGGAGTGCTTTAATCTTGTTGATGACACTTGAAACGACTCCATGGCCATCGACGCCTTCAAAATAGGTTTGCATCCTGACAGTGTTCTCCGGAACTCCTTGACTAGAAGACCCCCAAAACAGTCTGGTCGTTGATGAAGAAGGTTGAGGCATACTGCAAAGTAGAGGATGACGCCTTGCGGGTTAAAGCCGGAAACATGGCCAACAAGACGGCCCCTTCTGAAATTGCTCAGCTACTAAATTCTGTTCCACCTCAGAGCCCTGAGCCACGACATTGGGCTAAGCGAGACAAGAGAAGGGATTCTCACCGATTAAGCGACCAATGCTCCCACCGAACAAATGAACAACTACAAGTCGATAGCAGGCGCACAAGGCACGCCGACAAAAAATATATGGAGTTGTCAGAACCAATCGGCATTTTTATGTCCAAGGTCCAACATCTTCTGTTCTTCACATGGCCGTCCAAAATGGTGGGACCTCCTGACATGAGAAGACAGGATAGGCGGTGCGAGTATCACAAGGATCATGGCCATGATGCTGAGAGTTATTATGCATTGAAGGATCATCTGGAGGAATTGATACAAGATGGTCGGCTGCAACAGTTCGTCCGAAAAGGCAACTCAACCAAAGCAATAGCCACAAGACAGGATTCAGCTCCACTCGGCGTGATCTACATGATATACAGCCTGCAAATGTCATCTGTAGTGCATACTATTCAGTCAAATCCTGACCCTCAAAATCTACTCACTCCGGCTAAACGGCCCCATGAAGCTGCGAGCATTGCTTTCGATGACTCAGATTTGGCCAGAGTGACTCTTCCTCATGTTGATCCCTTAGTAATCGAGTTACGTGTAAACCAATTTACCGTTGAACGCGTACTCATTGATCCGGGGAGCACATCAGAAGTCATGTATTATAAGACATTCACCAAACTCGGCTTCTCCGAATCCGATCTCTCTCTGACTCCTTATCCACTATTCGGCTTCAACACCAACCCAGAATACCTGTTGGGGAAAATCACATTGCCTGTTCAAGCGGGCTCCCGGACAGTGGATGTGGAATTCCTGGCCGCCAAGCTGCCATCGCCGTATAATGTCATCATGGGGTGAACTTGGTTGCATACTATGCAGGACGTGCCAAGCACCTATCATCAGCTACTATGTTTCCCGACAGAACGCGGCATTGAGTAAATCCGTGGCTTCCAAAAATCGGCACAAGCATGCTACTCCTTGCTGGAAAGACGTCAAAGGAATTGTAAGTGAATTCTATTGAGGTGCCGGATCAGGAGAGCCTCGACGACATTGGGCGGCTCCTAAATTAAAAGGCCACGAAAGCCCTAGATTGAGTCGAAATCGATGGAAACCCAGACAGATTCTTCATGGTCGGCGCCTCCCTGAATCAAGCCGACAGACAGCAGGTAATATCCTTCCTGCTCAGTAACCTTGATGTCTTTGCGTGGACTCCATACGAGATGCCGGGTATCGATCCATCTGTTTCACAACACCGTTTGAATGTTGACCCTAAATGCAAGCTGATCATTCAGAAAAGCTAGCGGTCAGCCGCAAAGCACACTACTGCCGTCATTGAAGAGGTTGACAGGTTGCTTGACGCCAGGGCAATCAGGGAAGTGACCTACCCTATATGGCTCTCTAATACTGTGGTTGTGAAGAAGAAAAATGGGAGTTGGCGAGTGTGTGTTGATTTCACGGACCTAAACAAAGCCTGCCCCAAGGATTGTTTTCCTCTACCCAAAATTGACCAACTTGTAGATGCGATGGCATGCCGTCAGCGCATGAGCTTCCTCGATGCTTACAGAGGCTACCATCAAATCGCCATGCATCCGGAGGACCAAGACAAAACTGCATTCCTTACCCTAAGAGGAACCTACTGCTATAAGGTTATGCCTTTTGGGTTGAAGAGTGCAGGGGCAACTTACCAAAGACTGGTCACTGCCATGTTCAAGGAGCAACTCGGCCACACTATGGAAGTGTACATTGATGACATGGTGGTCAAGTCCAAAGAAGAGCAGACTCATCTAGCCGATCTGGAAGAGACATTCGGCATTTTACGCAAATACAAAATGAAGCTGAATGCTTCCGAATGTGCGTTTGGGATCGGCTTTGGCAAATTCTGGGGTTACAGTGTCAACCACCGAGGAATCGACCCCAACTCGAGGCAAATCACAACAATCTTGGAGCTCGCCTCCCCTCGTTCAGTGAAAGAGGTTCAAAAGTTAATGGGGATGGTTGCCGCACTCAACAGGTTCATAAGTTGGTCCACAGATCGCTGCCGACAATTCTTTCCTACTCTACGGCAGGGCAAGGCTTTCGAATGGTCTGCCGAGTGCGAAGCCGCTTTCAACGGCCTTAAGACCTACCTCCGATCAGTGCCACTCTTGACAACACCTTTGGCAGGTGACCCGCTCATTTTGTATCTGGCAGTTTCCGACTGGGCTGTCAGTGCCGTACTAATAAAGGAAGAGTTGGGGGAGCAACGACCAGTATACTATGTGAGCAAGGCAATGGTTGACGCCGAAACACGCTACCTTCCATTGAAAAAACTTATTCTAGCCCTTGTCATGACAGCAAGAAAACTGATGCATTACTTCCAGGGGCATAGCATCGGGGAGCTAACAGATTACCTCCTCCGATCAGTACTACGCAGTGCGAAAGCATCAGGACGCGTTTTAAGGTGGGCTCCTGAACTTGGCCAATACGATATTCAGTTTCTACCTAGAACCTTAATCAGGGGACAAGTGCTTGCCGACTTTGTTGCCGAATTCACTGGGGGTCTTTCTGACTTCAAGTCTGACGAAATTCGACCTAAGCCGAACTGGAGAATTTATGTCGAGGACATTTGGCAGCTGTACTGTGATGGGTCATCTAATCAGCGGGGCAGTGGAGCCGGAGTAGTAATCATGGCTCCTGACGGCGCAGTAATTGAGCAGGCCGTCAAACTCGGCTTCGAAGCATCAAATAACGAAGCCGAATACGAAGCCCTTCTAACCGGTCTGCGGAATGCACATCTTCTGGGTGTTCAGCGTTTGCTTGTATTTTGCGATTCAAAACTGGTGATCAATTAGCTAAAGGGGGAGTACGCGGCAAGAAATGATCGTATGGCGGCTTACATGAAAACGACTAACTTCTTGCTGGCAAAATTCGACCACCATGAATTGAATCAGATAACACGTGATCAGAACACACATGCAGATGCCCTGGCTTGCCTAGCCTCCCTTCCTTGGCTTGAATCCAACACCAAAACTTCAAACTCAGTCCCTTAGAACCTCAGTAGCTAGACAAAGGTGAAACACTAGGTGTTTGTGTGCAATAGTAAGACACAAAACACCTAGTGCACAAAAGAGAGGGAAAGAGATATAGGATGTGTATGTAACTCAAACCCTAGAACCAGAGCTCAACAATGGCTGTCTAAGCTCTCCAAATATCTAAAGTGTCTAACCCCGCAACAAGAGAGAGCCCCTCTCTTTATAGAACTTCTTGTCTTGTAAAGCTTACAAGACAAGCTTCATAAGAGGGAGATCCCTCCATACACGTGTATGAAGGGGAGCAAAAGCAAGACAGCTGTCTTAAAATATCTGCAAAAGCAGATGAACAGCAATCGGCCGGCCAAAAATGCCATCTTGGCCAAAAAGAGTGCCGGCCGGCAAATAGTGCCGGCCGGCAATATACATGGCCGGTGGCAGCAAAAACCAGCCGGTGGCCTCTAGCCACTGCCGGTGGTGGGTGGGGATGGTCCACAAGCCCTGCCCTGCCCTTCCAAGGCAAAACACAAGTGTTTGGTGCAAAACCAGACACTAAACGGTCGAGTTCGGAGATCCTGAGACAAGGCGCGTAGCCGAGACCTCCGGGAACTCCAAACGAACACAAACATGGATGATCACCGAGTGTTCAAACGGTGACGTCCAAGTCTTGAGGACGGTCAAAAATGGGGTGTCTACACAAGCCTTCTTCAGAAGAGTATAACGGGTCTCATAATCCAACATCTTCTTGCTCAGGTAGTAGATGGCCTTCTCCGCCTTAGCTTCTGATTCTTGTGCTAGCATGCACCCCATGGTTGACTCTGTTATCAACAAATACATGATCAGCGGCTTCCGCGGTTCTGGTGGCGACAATACAGGTAGATTCTGAAGGTATTGATTGACCTGTTTGAAAGACAACTGACAACAATCATCCCATCGGAACTTTTTTCCCCTTTTCAAGAGACCAAATAGTGGTTCACAAGTCAAGGTTAATTCAGATATAAGCCTTCTTATGAATTGCACTTTACCCAAAAGCCACACACCTCCTTTCCAGCCCTTGGTGGTGGCATTTATAAGATGGCCTTGATCTTAGATGGATCTACTTCAATTCCCCTATTTGTAATCAGAAATCCCAGCATCTTCCTTATAGTCACTCCAAAAGTGCATTTCTGTGGGTTCAACCTTAGTCTATACTCCATGATCCGTTCAAAAAAAATTTCCAACGCGATGTAGTGGCCTTCTCTCTCTTTGGATTTTATAATCATGTCACCCACATACACCTCGACTTCCTCATGGATCATGTTGTGCAAGATGGTGGTTGTAACTCTCTAATAGGTAGCCCTAACGTTCTTCAACCCAAAAGGCATAACTTTGTAGTAGTAGGTACCCCATGGCGTAGTGAATGCAGTCTTCTCTCTGTCCTCAGGCGCTATCAAAATTTGGTTATACATCGAAAATCCATCCATGAACGATAGCAAGGCATTGCCAGTAATAAAGTCTACCAGTTCGTTGATGTGCGCTAGTGGAAAGTCATCATTTGGACTAGCCTTATTTAGATCCCTGAAGTCGATGAAAATTCTGATTCTGTCGTCTTTCTTTGAAATCGGAACAATGTTGGCCAGCCAAGTAGGATATTCAAACACCAACAAAAAGCTCGCGTCAATTTGCTTGGTGACATCCTCTTTAATCTTCGATGCCCAATTCAAACAGATTCTGTGGAGTTTCTGCTTGACTGGTCGGGCCTCAGGGTCAAGAGGGATCCGGTGCTGTAAAATCTTAGGATCGATTCCAGGCATGTCTTCGTAGGACCATGCGAAAACATCTTTAAAATCTTTTAATAAAGTGATTAACTGCTCGTATTCCTCCGAAGAGAACGTAGACCCGATCTGGACTAAGCGTGGATCCTTCTCAGTATCCACATTAATTGTAATGATCTCATCTACGCAGGGCTTAGCATGCCTCTTCTCCTCTCGATCAATCAAGTTTTTCAAAGCCTGAGGAATTTATTCCTCTTCGTTTTCATTAAAATTTTGAAAATCTTGGTCAATGTAATAAATTAACGGCACAGAGAAGTAAATGGAATCTGCGGTATTCTCATTCAAAAATTCTGGCTCATCGGTTACAACAGACTCAAAAGCAAATGCAAAAGAGGACCTAGACAGGAGCTTGGCACCCAGGCTACCACCCCCCAGAAGTGCCAAACCCAGACTCCCCATACGGACTCGAATCTAATTTTGACTTAACAGACTCGGTGGAATCAGATTCAAAATCATTATCCGATTCAGAATTGGAGATAAAGCGCTTCTCTAACTACCAAGTAAGACGTAGCACCCTTGACACGTCCAGAATGTAACTAGTGGAATCCACAACCAGTTCCTTTTCGATCACAGAGACAGTAAAGGTATCCCCCAAGTTCTCCGTACTGGTCTCAAGATCTACCAAGGGATTGGTTAGTGTTGCCCCTACTCCAACCTCACTATTGTCTTGTCCTCTTTGCTCTGGCCAGCTTTGATACTTAGATCAATCCCCTTTTTATCATTGTCTTGAAGTTGATGGTCAAAAAAGATTTCAAAACCTGGGAAATGCTTTTTCGTTGAAGAATCCACCCAAGGCTAAGGAAAGCCGCAGAAGGGGAAATCCTCTCATTCTCTGACAAAACACGCATTCAGCGTTTCCCAAATTGGGCTGTGGACTAGCTCGTAATTTTTCTCGTCTCTTTTGGCCTTGTCCTTTTCTCTTATTTCTTCTCCCTTCATTCTCTAGTCCTCTTTAATGGGCACATAGCGCAACCCAAAGGTATGTGGATTATGTGGCACCTCAGCTAGCATCGCAACACCTTTCTTCCCGCTCTTTCTGAGCCCCATTCTTGGAATATGCTGTAACTTGTTCATGAAGTAAATGGACTGAGCACTAACGTACATGCCTTTGTCCTCGGCTAAGATGACCTGCACCACTTGGGCTTCAGCCAGAGTGAATCCTGAAAGAAATACATCCTTATCACCGTGAATGATTTCCAACAAAGATATAGTTACCGCTGACAGTGGATGAATAGATGAATTCCCAAAAATGGTTGTCACTCCTCCCTCATGATAGTATTTTAGCATTTGATAGAGAGTGGAGGACACAGCCTTCATGTAATGCAACTAGGGCCTCCCTAGAAGTAGGTTAAAGGTAGCTGGCACATCAAGTACATGGAACTCAATCTCATGTTCGGAAGGGCCCACTTAGACTTGTACTTTCACCGTTCCTATAACTTCTCTACTCGTGTTGTCATATGCCTAGATCACCTGGGCTGTGGGGACAAAATCTACTGGTTTTAGGCCTATCATATAGGTAGTGCAAGAAGGACATACGTTGATTGCATAGCCGGTGTCCACTAAAACCACTGGAACCCACTTCTTTCTAGACTCGACAGATATGTATAGTGGCTTGTTAAGAGCCGATCCTTCATGCGACAGCTCTTTTTCAGAGAAGGTGAGCATGGGTTTGGTGTTACTTGGGAAGATTAGGCCAACAAGTTACTCAGGCATAGTATCAATGGATAATTTAGCCTTATCCATCGCCAACAAGTACTATCTGTCGGTGTACTCGCAAAGCCATGAGGGGGCCCCAAATGGAAATATCAACCGTGATCTTTTTGAGTTGTTTCAAAACCAGCTCCTCCTCCAGCTTCTTCTTCTTTTCCTTCTCAACCTCCCGGTCTTTTCCTAAGGGTTCAGCCTGATCCAAATGTGGAGGTTTGAAATACCATCCACTCTTGGTGAGGTGGTCTATTTCCTCTGCATACCAAGTACTGTCTAGGATATGATCTCCCAAATCTTCATTTGTATGGGTAAGATGCAAGTCGCTGTCTTCCTACCACTTACCTTCAGCCGCCAACAAACAGTTATCCGGCTTAACTTGGATCACTCTTACAGTACAATTATCCCTCTCAGGGAAACAAGATGTTGCGGCCTTTTGGCTATCTTCGATCCTATCCTGTTTAAACTACCCCAACATAGCTTTCCGTTCAGCGTTTGTAGTTTCCACAACACACAATTCTTCGGTTTATTTTTCTGTACTACTACTCTCTGGCCCTTTTCCTTTCTCCTCAACTTTCTTGGCTACCACAGTTGCTCCGACTTCCTTCTTCTCTGGTTTAACTCCAGTTTCCTCTTTTTTATCAGACTCATCACTCAGCCATCTTTGTTGTTAGTTGACTGGCTTAGATCAAACCAACCAATCTGTACATTGCCTCACTCCTATTCTTCGAAGAATTGTAGGTTGTCCAAATCTTCTTCTAGATTCGCAAGCTCATCCATCTTGGCTTGGGTCGTCTTCCCTAACCACATTAATGTCCATTGAGGTTGGCAGTACTACCTCAGGCTTGGTTTGAGTGACGGGAATAATATAGTGGCTTGGGTTATAATCCCTCTCAGATGATTCCTCGGGAATTCCTAGTGATAGACCGACACCTCTTTCAGAGGGAAAAACCCCCTCTTCTTCAAGCGTTGTCAGCACATATTTGTGAGGCTCAGGTTGTGGGTTGGATGTGTTCATCATGCACAAGTGCATGCCTTTTGGAATGAACAACACCGGCTTCGGCAGGTGGAAGGGGGTGATATAGATGCTCGGGTCGAAGGCTGGTGGTAGTGTATGGATAAGGTGGATATTTCTGGATGGAGGGACTTAGTTATGGGCAGGGAGTGGGTTGGTGGTTACATTTGGCTTTTGAGGTGGAGCTATGACTTTGTTGTCAATGAGATCTTAAATCTCATGATATAGACAGAATAATCGGTCCGTTTCATAGTCGTGCTATTGATGGAAAGCACAATATTTGGTGGGATTGTGCTTGGGTAGATGAGGGTCTGGAACTGGTTGAGGTTTTAGGGGTTTTAGATGCCCTTTTTTGATTAGCACCTGCATGGCTCGAGATAGAGTCATATAGAGCTCATTGAAAGTCCTTCCCAGAGGTCGGGTAGGATTGGATGTTTGTGAGCCCATGTTGGTAAAGGGGTCGATAGTTTTGCTTGTGGTGATAACACTCACCTTTGATGGCCTCGCAGCTATACTACCCCTAGTAGTAGTGGAACTGCGAACAAAAGGCCTCTTCGCCGGCTTCTTGTCATCAGTGATGATTCCCCATTTCATTGCGTCTTCGATCTGAACCCCTATTTCATGAAGTTCCTTGAATGTAAATAAGGGTAGAACGATCATTTTCTGTAGTAGCTTACCATGAAGATTCCGAACAACCATCTGGATTTGGTCTTTCTCTAAGGGACGAGTGGTCATCATTGATGTTTTGGCCCTCCATCTAGTTACGGACTCCGAAAAACCCTCCTTCAGCTCTTGACGCATCGCTTCAAGATTACGAGTTGTGACCTTGATCTACGTATTGTAGAAGTATTGAACAATGAAAGTCTCGGCTAGTTCCTCCCAGTTCTGCTCCATATAGTCCTCCAACTTAGCATACCAGATGGCAGCTATACCCGACATGGTTTGGCCAAAGAGCGACAACTTCTACAATCAGGTTAAACCCATTGGTCGTAGGATATCTAAAAAATAAAGTAGATCTTCCATCGAGTCCCCAACGCTATCAAAGAAGTCAATATGCGGCATTTTGAACCGCTTCGGCAAAGTAACAGCAGATTTGGTGTACACATCCTCTATATTTGGAATGGAGTTAACCCCCTGTGCCTTTTTGAACAGTTTTTCCAGCTTGTTGACTTTAAGCATAGTTGGGTCAACCTCAAATTCAAAAGATGCCTCAGTTTGGTAGACTAGGGCTCTAGAAGTTTGTATTGGAATTGGGTCTGCTAGGAAGGGAAAAATCAGAATTCCCTTAGTTTGTGGATCCTAAGCTGTAACAGCATTGGTAGTAGTACCGAGTTTGGAGATAGTCACATTAGGTGTGTGCGAAGCAACAGGTGCAGCTAGTTGCTGTTGTTGTTGTTGTAACCTGTTTGTGACTTTAGCTTGACAGGTCATGTTGTGTTGGAGTGAGTCGACTGACTGCTGTAAATAGAGTAGTAGTTCCTCCAAATCATATGGTGGATACTGAGCCATTCTAGGAGTAGGTGCTTGTGCTTAAGGTGGACTGAGTATTGGCGAGCTGAGGGGTGATTACTGAAAGAATTGAATTGGTGAACTTTGTCTGACACTTCTTCGCCTTATAACTGGTGACAGTGAGGCAAACACTGGTTGTCCCCGAACAAGATCTCCGACCTTACAAAGTCTTTCTCTGCCTATTTCTTGTGTTTTTGTATTGTTTTGATCCTATTTCAAGTGTTGGAACTTGGGTTTGAATAGCTACCAAAGGGTAGAAAAGGTTAACACCCTTTCTTGCACTATAATTCATAGCTCACACCCTTGTTTTACACTCTTTTCTTTTCCTTTTCAACTGATTTTTAGAGTTTGAAAAAGGCTAAAAAACATAGTTTGAAGTCCCAAAAATTGAGAGGTTAGCCACCTCTCCTTACTCTTGTTCACTAGCCTTGCATTTCCTTGTTTTTTCTTACTTTTTTTATACTCTTTAACATAATTTTTGGCTACTATTTTTAGTATATTAGATATTGTTTTAGGGTTGTCCTAATTTATTTAATTAGTGTATGCTTTGAAATATCTAGCTCGTTATGTTGTTAGTCCTCATATCTAGCTTGTTGTGTTGTGTTACCAATGCTTTGATAGCTTATCTTTGTTTAATTTTCATGTCAAAAGTTTCATCCTAATAATCAAATTCATGTGACCATTTATGCCACCTCCCTCTTTTCTTTTCTTTTTTTTCTTTTTTCTTTCGTTTGAGAGTTATTTCAAATGACTGATGGTTGTTGAAGGCGTGGGAAAGAGACCTATGTTCAATGGCTTAATCTTTATGGAGGTTCGTCAAGGCATAGGCTCTCTCTCATGTCAATAATCATTTCTCGTTTGATATTTTTTCTCATTTAGTGGACTCAACCATCACTTTGGGACAAATGGATTAGAGAATGGAAAGGACTAATAAAATTGGCTTAAAATGAACTAAATCGACATAAAGAAAATATTTAGAATTGGTTGGATTTGGCAGGATGTTATGCCAAGTCCATCACTCCGAGAATCGTCACTTATCAATCCATGATATGTTGATGAGATGTGGGGCGTGTCTACTTCCCTCTTTGAGCCTTCATGATAAGAGAGAGGGGTGGTTTTCCATTACATTTATTCAATTTTGACCAAACGTGTTTGAAATCATCAAGCCATCAAATGTGCTTATTGGTGATTTTGGATTCGAACTCACTCTTCTCTTGAGTTTCCCATGACAGAGAGGGGCAGAAGGGGCAAACAGGGCCTAGAAAGGCTCTGTCTGCACTGTTCTTACCTCAGAACACAATATTATTGGCATAAAATTTAGGGTCAGCCGGCACTTTTTTGGCCCGGCCGAATCTCGTTTAGGGCTGGCCGAGTCCCAAAGTTTGGTAAGAAGAGACCTTTTGGCAGAAACAAAGGGTAGTAACTGAGGGTGAAGCAGACCAATCCGGGTAGACAAAACAGCTTCCGGGCACTATGCATGAGATCATTGTGTCTCATGGTTGCTTGGATTAAATTTCTTACTAGCATTTGTTGTAATTATCATTGTTGTAATAATTCTTATTGTTGTAATTATTATAATATCCTTGTTGCAACTATGGTTGTTCATTA